TTAATAGTTCCACACCATAATTATAAGATCTACGGGGCCTAATATCTTAAACATAAAGCAATCTAGATGTTCAACACTGTAAGTATTAAGTTCCACAGGGCCTAATATTTGTGATATAAAGCAAGCTAAACGTTCAACACCATAACTATAGAGTCTTACGTGGCCTAATATTTGTGATATAAAGCAAGTTAAATGTATAACACACTAAGTATAAAGTTCTACAAGGCCTAATCTTTGTGATAGAAAACTAGCTAGACTTCAACACCGTAAGGATAAAGTTTCACAGGGCCTATTATTTGTGACATAAAGCAAGTTAGATGTATAACACAGTAAGTATAAAGTTCTATAGGGGTAGGACTTTATAGTTACGGTGTTGAACGTCTAGCTTGCTTTATATCACGAATATTAGGCCTGTGGAACTTAATACTTACAGTGTTGAACATCTAGATTGCTTTATGTTTAAGATATTAGGCCCCGTAGGAACTTATAATTATGGTGTTGAACTATTAACTTGTTTTATATCACAAATATTATATTACAAATATTAGGGGGGCCTAATATTTGTAACATAAAACAAGCTAGACGTTCAATATCGTAAGTATATAGTTCTACAGGACCTAATATTTGAGATATAAAACAAGCTAATAGTTCAACACCATAATTATAAGATCCTAAGGGGCCTGATATTTGTAACGTAAAGCAAGCTTGATGTTCAACACCGTAAGAATAAAGATTCACAGGGCCTAATATTTGTGATATAAAGCAAGTTAGACGTATAACACAGTAAGTATAAATTTCTACAAGGCCTAATCTTTGTGATAGAAAACTAGCTAGACGTTCAACACCATAATTATAAGTCCTACGGGGCCTATATCTTTAACATAAAACAAGCTACACGTTCAACATCGTAAGTATATAGTTCTACAGGACCTAATATTTGTGATATAAAGCAAGATAGACGTTGAACATCGTAAGTATAAAGTTCTACAAGGCCTAAATCTTTGTGATAGAAAGCAAGCTAGACGTTCAACACCGTAAGTATATAGTTTTACAGGGCCTAATATTTGTGACATAAAGCAAGTTAGATGTATAACACAGTAAGTATAAAGTTCTATAGGGCCTAATATTTGTGACATAAAGCATGTTAGATGTATAACATAGTAAGTATAAAGTTCTACAGAGCCTAATATTTGTGACATAAAGCAAGCTAGACGCTCAACACCATAAGTATATAGTTCTACAGTGCCTGATATTTGTAACATAAAGCAAGCTAGACGTCCAACATCGTAATTATAAAGTTCTACACTGACTAATATTTGTGACATTAAGCAAGCTAGACGTCCAACATCGTTATTATAAAGTTCTACACTGACTAATATTTGTGACATAAAGCAAGCTAGACGTTCAACACCGTAACTATAAAGTCCTACGGGGCCTAATATTTGTAACATAAAACAAGCTAGATGTTCAACACCGTAAGTATAAAGTTCTATAGGGCCTAATATTTGTGATATAAAACAAGCTAATAGTGCAACACCATAATTATAAGATCCTAAGGAGCCTAATATTTGTGACATAAAGCAAGTTAGATGTATAACACAGTAAGTATAAAGTTCTATAGGGCCTAATATTTGTGACATAAAGCAAGCTAGACGTTCAACACCGTAAGTATAAATATCTACAAGGCCTAATCTTTGTGATAGAAAACTAGCTAGACGTTCAACACCATAATTATAAGTTCCTACGGAGCCTAATATCTTAAACATAAAGCAATCTAGATGTTCAACACTGTAAGTATTAAGTTCCACAGGGCCTAATATTTGTGATATAAAACAAGCTAATAGTGCAACACCATAATTATAAGATCCTAAGGAGCCTAATATTTGTAAAGTAAAGCAAGCTAGATGTTCAACACCGTAAGGATAAAGCTTCACAGGGCCTAATATTTGTGATATAAAGCAAGTTAGACGTATAACACAGTAAGTATAAAGTTCTACAAGGCCTAATCTTTGTGATAGAAAACTAGCTAGACTTCAACACCGTAAGGATAAAGTTTCACAGGGCCTAATATTTGTGATATAAAACAAGCTAATAGTTCAACACCATAAGTATAAAGTCCCACGGGGCCTAATATTTGTGACATAAAGCAAGCAAGATTTACAACACAGTAACTATAAAGTTCAATATGGCCTAATATTTGTAATATAAAGCACGCTAGACGTCCAACATCGTAAGTATATAGTTCTACAGGGCCTAATGATTGTGACACGAAGCAAGCTAGACTTTCAACACCATAAGTATAAAGTTCTATAGCGTCTAATATCTGTGATATAAAGCAGGCTAGACGGTCAATGCCTTACGTATAAAGTTCTACAGGGCCTAATATATGTAATATAAAGCAATCTAATCGTTCAACACCGTAATTATAAAGGTCTACAGAAGAGCAAGCAGAGGTTAAAAGAAGTTTGTGAGAGAGATTGAAGATGGAAGAAAAGGAGATGATAATTTCATGAAGTGCAAAAACAGAACAAAGATGTAATCATTTTTGTGGTGTATAACAATCAGAGATTAGAACAAATGATTAAGAAGATGGAACTAAAACTGGAGGATGAAAAACATATATGTTGGTGGGAGATATTACTTCAATGGTTTGATAAAAAAGAACAACGACAATAATATGATATGGGAAGAGAAAAAGTTATGTTATATCATTAAAAAGGACGGAGAAAGTTACAAAATCGAAAATGAATAGAGAATAAAAAGTTTATGGAGTTTACTGAATCTTGGAGATTGGTGGTGTTGATTAGAAAAGTGGAAGTATACAGGATCAAGAGGAACTTTAGTTGTGCAAGATATAATTGAAAAAAAAACAACACGAAAACCAAAATCAATGATTAATGGATGAAAGAGGATAGAATCAGATCATATGCCAATTATAGTGAGGATAAAAAAATAGACAGGAAAATGAAGAGGATAAGTTAAAATATATAATTTAAAAGTGAATAGAAGATAAATAAAAATTATAGAATAAAAATGAATAGAACGTGGGAAGAAACAACATCAGATAAAGACGAAGACCAGGAAAAAAATATGGGTGGAAAAAGTGGTTTGTTTATAAAATTGTAATAAAGAGTTTAGAGATGATGGGTCAACTGATAATAAGAAATAGGTGATTTGATTGAGAAGAGCAGAAAAGAGAGGTAAGGAGATATTGAAGAAAATTAAAGCTGTAGGAAAACAGGAATATGAAAGAAGAATATGTTAAAAGAAAATAGCAGTTGCAAAAAATTCAACAAGAAAAAGAAATAAAGAGGAAGATTTTAAAAGAAGTGGAAATGTAAATCAGCTAAGGAGCAATGTAAAGTTCTAAAAGTTCAGGAGAAAGACAATAAAGGAGGAGTGAATACAGAAACATTTAAAGAAATTAAAAAATAAGGAGGTAGAAGAGAAATTTCGATTCAAAGCAATTAAAAGGATTGAAGCAAGGAAATAATGCGTTGAGTGAATTTTATGGGAATCTAACAAAATATGTGAAAATTTAAAGATTAACATGTATTAAACAAATTATGGAAGACAACAAGAAGAGTAAACAGATGGAGAGTCAGATATATATCCGATTTAAAAATCTTGAAATGAAACAGAGTAAAAGAAATCTAAAGAAGCGTCATTTTTAAATGTAACATTTAAATTAATGACTGGAATGATGATATTAAAACCTAATGAATGGTTAGAAAAAATAAAGCAAGACATGCAGGATTTCGGAAAGGGTATTTTAAATGCTATAGTAGAAAATAAATTTCTAGAAAAAGAGGAAAGTTGTATTTATTTTTATAGATTGAAAAGCTGCTTTCGATATTGTGGATAGCAAAAAGTTATTTCAAATAAATAGAAATATGTGGAAGAATGTTATATGGGGTAAAAGACATATATAAAAAATGATAAATATAATTAAATGAATACCCGTGGTGGGTACAGCACAGATAGCCCCTTGCGTAGCTTTGTATTTAACGACCAACAAACAATTAAATGAAGAGATATCATAGAGTTATTATACAAAGAAAGGAATTAGAAAAGGTTACTCATTAAGTCCTACCGCGTTTTCAATATATCTATATAATATAAAAATTAATTGAAGGAAAACACACTGGGAAAAGGATCATAGATATATGAAAATAAACTGATTTGCAGAATGTACTTAGGATACATGTTTTGATAATAGTCACAATATACAGACTTTTAAAAAAGAAGCTGTGGCATGTCTTAGAGAAATATCTTTATTCGTAAAATGGTGGAATATGTCTTTGGATGCACCTTTGCTATTTTATTGACCGTTAAACAAGAGTGATACAGGTGCTAGAAAATGAAAAACAAATAAAGTACTTAAAGCTGGTTGTTAAACAAGTCACACCTCAAATTATGACATTTTGTCAAGATCAGTAAAGCTGTTGACTAACATCAGAAAAAGACAATTGGAGTTTCTAGGATACTTTATGAAAAAGAAGAAATTGAAAGTCTTGATCGTAACTAGAAAGATTGAAGGTAGGAGAGGGAGTAGAAGACAAAGGTTGGCTTATGTTAAAAGTCTACCTAAAAAGATTGTGCTTTAAATCATTTTTTAACTAAATTAATTAACATTTTTTTAATTATATTTCACGAGGAGTTTTACTGTTTTTATTTGTAAATATTATATATATGTGTGTGTATACTTGACATTTCTAAAAAAAAGATATTCTTGTTGCCCTGCCCTCTGTTGAGGATATAGACACTATTAAGACACTTTGATGTCGTCATTGAAAATGTATTAATGCGCTAGTTTGTTTGTAAACATAGATGTAAACTAACAAAGAAATATTTACTCTTATGGATGTCATTTTAAAAAACAAGGAAATTCTAAAAAAATATACCAATGCATCGTTTTAATTTTGTTTCCTCCTATATTTCAAGCCAATATAGTAGCTGATGGCAGAAAAATCTTAAACTAATTTATATTGCGGTTACATACTATAAAGCAGTCAGTGAGATCTTTAGATTGGAAGATCAGTAATAATATGGTGTAATAGTAAAATATTATTTAATTTTGCTATCAAATTTACAAGGTAACTTTGAATTATTAATGATTTATTCATGAAAATATGACTTAGTATGTTAATGATATTTGTTTAGATATTACTCTTAAGTTTTAGTTTTAAAGTGTAACTTATTAAGTTTAACTTTTAGTTTAAATATGTTTGTGTTATTTTCTATTTTTACTTATTTTTTAGTAAGGCTCGTTGTTCAGTTGTTCCAAATCTGTTTTGTAGTATTTACTATTCTGGTATAGTGTCAGTTTCCATTTTAATGTTATACGAAATATAAACATTTATTTTGATGTAAGGTAAGAAATAATGATAAAAACTCAAGCTTCCAGGATTTAAACCTGTGATGGTAACACTAGCACTATTAGTGTTATTACTAACAATATTACTATTAGTAGGCTTTGTGTTATAACTTATAGTACGGATAACCAAACTGCACACTTGTGCATAAACAGTATACACAGAGTCATCATTTTAATATATACATATGTGTGTTTGAATCTTTTGTTACATTAATATTACAGAGCTTGCATCCAAGCAGAGTTCCAGACCAGTTAAATCTGGTTCACATGGGCTGGTTAGAAGTCCAGCAGGCTCAATATTGATCATAAAAGTAATGGCTGAGAAATATTTTTAATGATGTGTAGTGGTATTTATTGTTCTGTTCTAAAAAAAAGTACTTAATATACATACATATTTCTCTATTTTTTTTACACAGAAAGTTATTGCATCACAACCATTTAGTATACTACATTTGTAGAAGTATTATCTAAAAGGTGTTTGGGTATGTGTGTTAAAACATGGGCTACTAAACTTTTTAAGCTTGAGCCCTGACCCCCCCCCCCCCCCAAGATCTTAGACACCCATGCTAAAGAACCCTACCAATGACTTTATATCAATTTTAATTAAAATAATAGCCATTCTGAAGTAAATTACATTCATTGTAATTTTGTTCTTTGAAAACAGAATTTCAAGTATATACAACATTGTATGGCCATATTTATTGCAATAAATAGGACTGCTGAAAATATTGCTTTGCCCAGTGTCATGGAAGTTTTTAAAAAGAATATTTCTACATGTGCTCAAGCCCAGTGAGACTATTTCTGACTTCTTTTTTATTTTATTTTTTTATCTGCAGACCTCATTCTAGGAACCATTATGTTATATATATATGATTTTCTTCCAGTTTCATTGCATGGCTATTGAAGTGTCTAATTCTGAGATTTGTTTAATTTGTTTTGGTGTAAATAGGCCTGTTTAACAAAAACAAACTGTGGGTAATTAGGCACAGGGTCTCTCTCTCTCTCACTCTTCTTTTTTTTTTTAAATAATCATTCCTCGAGGAAACAGTTTCTTGCAAGACAAAAATAGTTTCTGTGGATTAAAAAAATAACATACAAAAATAAATTTCATCATTGAGTAAAAAGTAAGCAGTACCCCATTTTTCTTGAATTAATGATTTATTTATTGCACCTTTCCATCAATTATTCTTCAAAAACTTTAAACTTTTATACTCACTCAAGCTACTTGTCTCTTAATGTGTGGTTACATTCTCATGACTGTAAAATGTAACTTAACTCTTAATTGAAGTACTGGTAAACATTATCTCAGAAAAGCAGCATTTAACCTTAGAATTAATAATGGAGCCCATACAGAACCCGTCAACTTTCTAAGTACGTTTTACTATCTAAACCAAATTTTATATGGATCCATGACATTTTTGGTTACAGGGTCCTTAATAACATATAATAAAATTAAAGGAAAATAGAATCAATATTGTAATTAATCTCTCTAATTAATGCTGTGTTTTACTTGTAAAAGGAGTCATCAGATTTATTTGATCAGTTTTTTGCAGTGAGTGCTGTAAAGGTTACTCAATTTGATGTAATATGTGGACTTCACAGTTAGTGAAGGATATAAAAACAAAACAGTAAGTTGAGGGCTATAAACAGTTTTATATGAAATGTTCTGATTTGATATAGAAAGAAGACAAAACTTGAAGTGTCAATACATGAGAAGACTACCGTTTTTTTGTTTTTTTTAACGTCAAACTAAATAGATTTTTAGCATATGTTCAATCATTCGAGTATATTCAAAATCTATAATTATGCACTATGTCATATGTGAAGGATGTTATGCCACTTCATTGAGGTGAATTCTGTAATGATTACTAAATGATTTGTTAAACAGGAGCTTGTAGGTAGTAGGTAAAACATTATTGAGCTTTGACACACACAAATGATGGTAAACATACAGGTAACAAATCTTTCTTTGTTGCCTAATGCAACTCTGTAGTTGTATGCTCTTACTTCCAGGTAACTGTCTAATAAATAAACTGTGGAATTATTGTTGTTATGTCCTCAATTAAACAGTGTTACTTTTAGGTAATGTACCCTTTATAACTTACCAAAATATATTTCATGAAATAACTTTTAGTTCAATATAGATCTTTTTAAGCAAGAAATTTAAGAAAACTGTTTTTTTTCACTATATGTTCATAATGTGTGCGATGGTGGGTTAATTTATAAATGTTTTATGAAAAAAAACTAGTATTTTTCAAGAAGTTAATACGTGAAAAAACAAGACAGTCAGGAAACTTACTTGCAAGAAGCACAAGTTAATTTAGTTTGAATGGCATACATGTTGATATCTTCCTTAATTTACAAGTTCAGAATACGACTAATGTGAGTTAATTGGATTTCATTTTCTTCAAGACTGAAAGAATTATTGCAAGAGTATGTTGATTACTGTTTCTTGTTGGAAGTTCATTTCTACATAAATCTTTAGAGCTGGTTTTGTTGTGGCAGTTCAGTTTCTTCAGTTGGGTATGTAAGCTGTTGAACTAATTTACATCTAGTGTGGTAGAAGCTACAGCTTTACAGAAGTATAAATAAATGATTGATGAATATTTGAAGGATCACGGTTGGATATAGTGATTAGTTTCCTGTTTGGTGAGGGAGAGAAGAAGTTGGGTTATCCTTGATGGGCTAAAAGGCCCCTTAATATTCCATAATTTACACTATAGATTTTATCTTCTGCTAAGTATTTTACTTTCAGTAGTTATTTTTTGTGGATTAATTTCAGAATTTATATTTGTAATCTTTTAATAGGAAGATGTTAAAATGTGATACTGTTAGCTGCATTCAAATAGCAGATTTTATCAAGAATAGGATGAGATATCATTCACAGAAACCCTTTTGTATGTTGGATAACTTAGGCTGCTATTGAGAAGTATCAATATTCTAAATTTTTCTAACTGTATTATTATTATTTTTGAGTATATGACAACTGAAAAGTTGAAATACTCCTAACCTGAAACAGATAATGAAGATATCAGCAGATTGCATTGAACAAGATTGTGGAAGTCAGTCAGATGATGGAAAAGATGAAAAGGCACAGGGGGTGGAAATTATTGTTAAGTACTTCCCAGAAAGTACAAATAGCAGTCATGTTGCAGCTGTTATATTCTCTACCGAGATGTCTTGGGAGCTAGTCAAAGAAAATGTAAGTACAATAATAATAAGGCTAACAATCGTGGTATTGAACAAAAGACCTTGTCTGCACTGGATGTGACAGATGTGGTGTGGTTGGCTTAACATATTCTTCTTTCCTTTTACTCGTAAATCCTTAGAATGATGGGTGAATTTTTTGAAGGAAGGAGTAAAACATCACTTAAATCATACACAGTTTCTTATCATTGTGGTATTATAAACTTAAAATAATTATTTGGATAGTTTCGTTAATAATATAATTTGTGTAGGTGACTCAAAAAGTTTGAAGCAGAATTTTTTCTTGTAAAAGTGTTTCATAAAATTTTTATGAGGTTCTTTTTTATTATAGTTTTATCAGTTTAAAGGAATATCAGTAAAAACTATATTAGCAGTAGCCCAAAACATTATTTATAACTTTTTTCTATATATTAATCATATGAAATAATAAACTCTAAATAAACTATTTTATATGTATGCCAAAGTAACTAGTATATCAGGCACATTTTGATTTTTAAATTGGCAAAGCATGGCAATAGAATAATTATTCAAATTTATTGCTACCAAAGATGCTAGTATGGCTCAGTTCAGCCTTCAAGTCAGACTGATCAAACTACAGTTTAGAATTAAAAGAAACAAAGAAAATTAAGAGACTTTCAGTTGTATTTGAGACATTCATAATAATGTTTATCAAAGTGTCAAATAGCGTTGATACTTCTAAATACTTGGCTTTTTTTTATTAGCCACATTTGCAAAAGATTTGGCACGCAGAGCACCCATATTTCCCAAAATATTTTTTTAGTTGTACAAAAGTTTTGTGAATTTTTATTGTTTCTCAATAGGTTTAAACTAACTTTACAGTCACCCCTACAGGCCTGTAAATTTAGTTAATAGTATTTGTCAAATACTGTTCATTTTCCAAATTATTACAGATAGTTAATTGTTGTTGTTTTTTTTTGTTATTTTAGTCAGCACTCTTTGAAATTCAAATAACTTTTGGGTTTTCAGTGTTGCAGGTGTGTGCTGTGCATATATATATAGTTTGAAATGAAATGATGTTTTGTTAGTGATGGAAATATTATCTTGTTTTAATTTTTTACATTGTGAATATGTTCAAACAAGTTTTATTAGTGACAGTTTGGGACTATCAAAGAGTATAAAAATAAGTTATTCATGCACTAGAAATTATAATACTGTTTAGTATAAGCAGTACAAAGACCAACCACTTTATTAATACCTGTTTTTTTAAGTATGTTAACTTACCGGGGAAGGCTTGTAGGTCTGAACCTATTTTTCTATGAATGTTAGAAGAATTTAGAGAAAAATTGTTAGGATGAATTTGGACAGTTTGGACTGTGTGATCTGTGTAAGTGGTGAGTTGAGAAGGTTGGAAATATTAATTTGAATATTAGAATTTAAAGGTTTAAGCTTTGAAGTCTAAGTGTGGGCTTCTGTAAAACAAAGTTCGGGCTACAAACTTGTGAAATAATTTACTTGATGATGTATTTCTGTTAGTTTGAGTTGTGATATGATAATTAAATCTCTGATTTTGTGTATGACTATGTTTATAAACTGTTTTTAGAGCACTTTAGTACAGCGAACTGTATGTATAAGTTCCATATGAACATGATGTTTCGTTTATAAACTGTTTTTAGAGCACTTTAGTACAGCAAACTGTATGTATAAGATCCATATGAACGTGATGTTTCGTTTATAAACTGTTTTTAGAGCACTTTAGTACAGCAAACTGTATGTATAAGTTCCATATGAACATGATGTTTCGTTTATAAACTGTTTTTAGGGCACTTTAGTACAGCGAACTGTATGTATAAGTTCCATATGAACATGATGTTTCCAACTTTGAACTGTATTAATCCTGCAGTCACAATAAGAACTACATTTCTGTTGGCTTGCTTATGATTTAATAAAAAACTTATTTTTATTCTACACTAGTAATTGTAAACACAATGAAACTACTTCTGGTGTTTTTTGAATCATAAAAATATAACTTACAATTTTATAAAATAAAAACTTCAATTCTTAGAAGGATGTAGAAATAGATAAAAATAAACAACAAAGGTAAGCATTTTTAATTGTTTCTTTAAGAATGAATGATATCACATTAATTCTTTTGAATTTTCAAAACTGCAAATTCATAAGAATATCATATATGAAAATATTTTATTCTCTAAAGCTATGTAAACTGTAGAAAGTTCACCTGAAGTTTCAAACTGTTTCTTCATCCAATGTTTTTTCTGCAATGCAATAAAACAAATGATATAACAGGTGAGTTGAATAGACAGAGTTAAAGATAAAGCAGTAGTCTTAACTGCTCATTTAGCTTGTTATATGTTTGGAAGAACTTATATTGGTGTTGAATGAAGTAAGGTAAAATGTGTAGCAACTGCATGGTTCAGAGTGACAGTTGGAGAGAAAGTCACTTGAAGGTTAAAGATAGAAGGCCTTTGAAACATCATCCCTTCTACCTGATCAACTTTTGTTGATTAATCTTTCTCAACAAATGTCATTCTGCATGGTTCAGAGTGACAGTTGGAGAGAAAGTCACTTGAAGGTTAAATATAGAAGGCCTTTGAAACATCATCCCTTCTACCTGATCAACTTTTGTTGATTAACCTTTCTCAACAAGTGTCATTCTGAACTGGCCAGCTGCTGCCCATTTAAACTTTGTTTGGTCAGCATGAAAACTCGGCCTAAATAATTTAGAAAGAAAAGGTATAACCATATTCTTTCAAAATAACCAGTTAACGTTCAATCTCATTGGTATAACCAATTAACTTTCAATTCCATTGGTATTTCAAGTTCCAATATGAACAGGACTTCAAAGTACAAAGCAACAGAACTGTCATATAATTTGATAATAGCACATTGTCAGTTGTTCCTGTTTTGTATGGTAGACACAGGTGCCATGAATATAGCTGTGATAATTCTGCCAAAGAAGTTTTAATAATTCCTAATTCAGAGATTAAATATGGAGTCTTATCTTTAAAAAAAAAAAAAGACACAAGTGCTTTATTCACAAGTCTGTTGTTTAAGATTAATCTTTAGTATTAAGATAAAACTGATGAATAAGTGATAATCTTGATAAAGCATTATGCTGTATGTCTGTAACATATTTTTGTTTAAAGTAACAAAATGTTTATTTCATACATTTTTTTTTGTGTGTGTGTGTGTGCCAGGAAAGTATTATGTATAAATTAAAACAATATTGACACTGGTTGTGTTTTCTACGTCACTGGTGTGGTTAAACTCGCTAACAGTTTTATTAAACCTCCTCCTATTATTGCCAATTTAAAAGGCAAGAAATACTTTGCTTCAAATGTATTAAAATGGAAGTTTGAAATTAACTGAAAAGTTATTGAAAATGTAACTTTGTTTATGAATTTGAGATTTTCACCACATTAATCTATAATAGTTATACCAAAAATGAATAATATGGAGTATCAGTGTAAGATATAAACAACAGTGACTTGTAGATTTATCCAAATTTGCTGTTTTATCATGTTAATAAAGCTAAAAATGATATTGATATTTTCCATGTTCCTATCAGAAACAAAATTAGATCAGATTTTTAGTAATGTATAAGTTATATGCATGTGAAAGATTATAAGTTAATTTTTTGCTATATATATATAATGGAATGATGTACCAGTTAGCTACACAACTGTAATTGAACTTTTACTTCATAAGAAATATATTAGTTTTAGACGTTTCTGATAGCCAGATTAAGATGTATTCATTAATTATGAAGCACATTGCTTGTAAGAAGGTTTATTGTAGTCTGTGGTAAGTCTGTTTTACAACAAGCTTAACTCACATATTGTAGTTGAACTTTTACTTCATAAGAAATATATCAGTTTTAGACGTTTCTGAGAGACAGATTAAGATGTATTCATTAATTATGAAGCACATTGCTTGTAAGAAGGTTTATTGTAGTTTGTGGTAAGTCTGTTTTACAACAAGCTGAACTCGCATATTGTAATTGAGTGTAACTAGTTTGTAAGTCTAAGCCTTTAAATGTTTATATTTGTTTTTGGATTTAAAAGATTCAAAATATCAATATTTGATGTTCGTCCTTATATCTCGTGTTTTTAAGTTAATGACTTTTCAATTTAGGTCTTGTCCAAATGTGGCTTGACGAAAAATGATGCTGCTGTTTTTTCTTACATTGATGATGAAATGGATGAGGTAAGAATGAATATTTATCAATTAAATTTATTGTCATTATTTTTCTAAATGAAATTGTTTATTTGTGTTAGAAAATTCTATAATGTAAAACGTGTTTGTATACCTAAGGCAATAAAATATATACCAAGACTAGCAGAGAACTAAAGTTTTCTGTATCCATTCTTATTGGCTTATCTATTGTCATCATATAAAATATCACACAATGGAGTGTTTTATATATCAGCTGTACTTTTTTGTGTTTGTGTTTATATACATACAAAGAAAATAAGATGATTAGGTTTAGAATGAATCATGTTTCCTAATGACATATAATGTACACACTGATTGCCCACTTTATTAGAACCCCATCCCCATAAATGTAGACACTATTATAGTGCACTCCATTTATTTACACATACAAAATAGACTGAGCATGTGATATGCTATCTAACTGCTTAAACACGATAAAAGCAAGATTTTGTTACTGTACGATTAGTCTTCAAAATAGTAGGAATAGTCAAGGTTCTTCAAATTTTAAATGTGTGCTTGTGTAACAAGAATGTCATTATCAAACACTATTTCATTAACTGGTTGTCATATGTATATGTCATCAGACTATTAGTAATAGCAATTGTACAGAGAATATGTTTACCACTACAAAATTAGAGAGAAAAGATGGTTGGCCGTAGTTCTAAAGTGTAAGAGACATCTGTCTATGACCTAATTTTATGATTCCTTTAACAGTAACTAGGGTTTGATTATCTTCATTATACCATGCAAATGATATACACAAAGATACTGATATGACTGATAACAAGTTCTCCAAAAATTAGTGCATGTTAGGTGCAAACATGAAAACATTGTGCCATTAGTTTTTAGTACACAAAGCACAAATTTTAGAAAGTGCATGGCTAAAATCATGTATTATGGTCTCGTGAATCTCTTTCCACCCTTTTTAAGCCTGATGATGTTGTAAAAATGTGAAGAAAACTACATAAGGTGCTTGATTCTGCTTGGTTGTCACACCACTACAAGCCACTGGAGATAGTATAATGGTGTGGGGAACATTTTCCTTTGATCCTGTCAGAAGAGCAAAAACATCTGTGCTGTAATTGAATTTTGTAGCAGTTGTGCTTATAGCAGTATGATGTATTTCTCTCTGTTAGAGAAAAGCTGTTCCAAGATGGTAATGCAATAATTCATCATACTAATACTGGCAAAAATTAGCTCAAAGAGCATGACATTGACCTGGGATATCACCATAACTATATCTCAATGTGATTGAGACTGTTTGAGGTCAACTTGCAAACCATACTTTTAAATTAATTAATACAGTCAAAAAAAACACTTTTCACCAATTTTCATGCTTTAATTATTTGTCTAATATGATTTTAAACATTTTTATTTCTAATAATAAAATATATAACAAAAGCACCATCAAGTTGTTTAATGTAATTGTGAATGCAACACTGTAAAAGGTTATGATGCAAAAGAGTCACATCCAGATGTGAAGGGTTAAATATGTCTAAAATATAAAACAAAAGTAAAGTTGAGACCTCAGTTACCATTGAGACTGTAAACAATTTTTATACTATTTATCATTTTTTGATTAAAATAGATCTCCTTTTTTTATAACCTGGCATATTTTCACATTCATTATGTTTTTGTTATAGATAAACATTTTTTTCACACACATAGTACATACAGAGCTACCTGAACTGTGTGAAGAAAAAAATAATAAAAAATAAACCTTCAAGCACCAGTTAACCTAGGGAGTAGATGTGGAGCTTGTGGTAATGTTTGTTGTGTAATAGTTAACACAGGGAGTAGTATGGAGCTTGTGGTAATGTTTGTTGTGTAATAGTTAACATAGGGAGTAGTATGGAGCTTGTGGTAATGTTTGTTGTGTAATAGTTTACATAGGGAGTAGATGTGGAGCTTGTGTTAATGTTTGTTGTGTAATAGTCAACACAGGGAGTAGATGTGTAGCCTGTGTTAATGTTTGTTGTGTAATAGTCAACACAGGGAATAGATGTGTAGCCTGTGTTAATGTTTGTTGTGTAATAGTTAACATAGGGAGTAGATGTGGAGCTTGTGGTAATGTTTGTTGTGTAATAGTTAACATAGGGATAGATGTGGAGCTTGTGGTAATGTTTGTTGTGTAATAGTTAACATAGGGAGTAGATGTGGAGCTTGTGGTAATGTTTGTTGTGTAATAGTTAACATAGGGAGTAGATGTGGAGCTTGTGGTAATGTTTGTTGTGTAATAGTTAACATAGGGAGTAGATGTGGAGCTTCTATTACACAACAAACATTACCACACAACAAACATTACTACAAGCTACACATCCACTCCCTATGTTGATTAACACAGGGAATAGATGTGTAGCCTGTGGTAATGTTTGTTGTGTAATAGTTAACATAGGGAGTAGATGTGGAGCTTGTGGTAATGTTTGTTGTGTAATAGTTAACATAGGGAGTAGATGTGGAGCTTGTGGTAATGTTTGTTGTGTAATAGTTAACATAGGGAGTAGATGTGGAGCTTGTGGTAATGTTTGTTGTGTAATAGTTAACAAAGGGAGTGGATGTAGAGCTTTTGATAATGTTTGTTGTCTTGTAGG